ACTGTGTTTACACTAACCCTCACCCAAACACACCTATCAAGCCATGAGAGAGCGCCTTTCTCAGTTAAATGATACTCCTTGGTTAGTTTTATTCATGGATTTTTTTTCAGTTCTCATGAACCGGTCTGCCTCACGTAAAGCGAAAAAGCGTAAAAGGGTCAATCAATGAACCGGATCAATATAAATATCTGATGAACTGCACACCTCCCCAAACAACACTCAACTGATAACAAGTTAGGGTTAAATTTAGTCAAGGGGAGAGGTAGGTGCGTAGATGCTCAGATACTAACATTGACCCAGTTACCTTATGGAAAGATACAAAGATCATATTAATGGTAGAGGGAATTTCTCTCGCACGCAGAGGTTTAATAGCTGTTTTTTTCTTCTTCAGTTTTCTTTGGTTTTTGAGTACTTTTTTCAGTTATTATCACAAACGATATTCCTTACGCTGAGCAGTGTAATCAGCTGTAGTTTCTTTGCTGGCTTCTAACGTGTTTGAGGACGCCGTGTAAATCTCTCGTGCTATTTCTTCAACCTTCACTGCGCCCAGATTTTTGGCAGATTCCTTTAAGACAGAGGCTGCTCCTTTTGCAATTCCTGCTGCTTGGTTCTAATTAAAAAAAAAAAAAATGACAATAATACAACTGGTAAAATGTTGGGTCTGCATTTTCATCTTAGCATAGGCAAAAGCACGTAAATCCTTGTGAGGGTGAGCACATCACAATCATAAACACAAGCGCAACCAGGACAATATCGCAGTGAGAAGGGGGTCTTATAGCTATTTCTCTGGTATTGCATTGCCTTCTCACTGACGAAACGAAATGGTCTATTATCCAAGACCCAGTAAAGGGAATGAAATGGTGGTTTTCTTATTTCTTTAACCGAAAGAAGAACAAACGGCATAGATATTCTTATCTTTCAATCTTTCAGTTCTTCCTCTTGAGCGTTATAACTTTAAAAGCAAAATATGCAATAGCAATATATTGTGCGCATGAGTGGGTTGATAAAGTAAACGAACGCACATATGAGTGAATAAATCAAAGAATGATTGAGAGAATGACTGAAAGAATGAATTAAAAAGTGGATGAACGATTGAATGATTGAATAAATAAACGAATTAGTTTATTTATTAGACTGGTGCTAGACGATTGTACTTACTTGAGTATTTGACGTCACTTCCGTTTTGTCTTTGGTGACTTTTATCAAAGCACCAATGGTCTGTTGAGCCAGTGATGTATCCGTTATGTCGACTTCCGAAAGTTTAGTGACCAGCTTCGATTTTTCCTGAAAGGAAGGAACAACTGAATATTCAAGGCATCACTGTGGAAACTGCAGTCGTTTCACATGACTATGTTTTCATGTATTCACAGTCATTTCTTCATTACATCACGGGTTTATTACGAACCTAAAGAAATAGCTCCCAGTTGGCTTGTTAGCTTAGTTGGTAGAGCGTTACACCGATATCGCAGAGGTCGTGGGTTCAAATCCCGTACAGGCCTGAAATTTTTTTCAAGCCTCATTTTCACCACTGCCCAAGTAGTGTCCATTACTGCGAAGTACTCATACACGATTTTAATATATTCACAGTCATTTCTGATTGGCTGTTGTGATAACTTTGGTATTGGGAAAAAAACTAAATTGAGATACCCTCATAACGCGTTAAATACCTTAGTTTGCTGTCCTTTATTTGTAGTTTCCGACTTGTTGCCTTGATCTATGATGGATATCAGAGAGTTCACCACCTGGACGACCTTTTTGGGGTCTTTCTTGGCATCCACTTCCTCCAGTTGTTGAATAGCTTTATCTATTTGCCCCGTCTCCGGTTTTTTCACCTACAAGAAAAATCAGTTCAACTAGAAAGTTTTTAGGCGATTTAATTTGCATGTTCGCGAGGTCATAGGTTCACTCCTATTGAAGATCTACTTTTCAGGCTTGATTTGAAGTGCAAATCAACCCATAATTCAAGAACTTGTGACTAAAACAGACTTTTTGTTCCTCCTCTGACAATTCTACGGGATCTACGTTTTTACATTTCACGTCATTTTTTGGGATATTCAAACCACTTTCAACCTGAAAGAGATTACGAATAATCGATATCGCCGCTGGGGCACCAAAATAGGGAAACAGATAGTGATAAACTGGAAAAGAACGAGGATGGAAAATTATGGAGAATATGAGGTGCAAATGGCGAACTTCAAAAAATCAGTCTGAGGTTAAGAAAACCCCAAAACCGTGACGTGGTGCCTAAAGGATATACTGATCCACGGGCACGCTTCATTGTAGTCTTTGAGTAGCCCTTAAATGTTATCACTAAAGATTTTAATTTGAATTTCAACTCACCGTGGCGTTTAGTGGAAAAGTGGCACAACATTGATACTTGTTGCAAATACGTGCAGATAGCTGGAGTTGGAAACCATTCTTTGGATCTCCGATAGGTAACACTCTCGATGGAGTAGATCTCTCCCCAAAGTACCAAACCTGATTTGCCTGTGACTCCGACGATAATGAATTAATCTGAGCTAAGTTGTCTATCTTGGTTTTGTAACGAAACTCGTACGAGATTGGGTTGTCTATGGTTACCCAGTTTTTACAGTTGATCTTGAACGGGGTTTCCGCCGCAAAACCCTCTTGTGGACTGAAGTGAAAATTTCAAATACACACGTTAATTCTACTTTTTTTCCCCGAAGTTTTCTAAACACATCCTTTACAACCCTTGTGCATTCTGCCCTCGTATTAAAAGCAATCTCTTGATCTAATCTGAGAAAATGGCATAATATTGGAATAATGATAATAAAGCAGTAGAAGTGGCAGCGGCGGCGATTACGACCACTATAACGACGACGATAGCTTTAATGATGACAATAACTATAATCATTACGATAAACAAAACGATACTGACTACGAAAATGGAAACATTAAAGACAAAGACGACGACAGTAACGATAACGATAAGGATAAGGATAACGACAACGACAACGATAACCGCAAAGACAACGACGGCAATAACGACTACGACGAAGAC